CTCCAAGAGGGCCCCAAGAGGCCCCACACCGGCAATCCAGAAACCCCAGCTGTGCATGCGAGGGGGAAGGGCAAAGGGAGAGGAGGAGGAGGAGGAGGAGGAGGAGGAGGAGGAGGAGGAGGAGGAGGAGGAGGAAACATGATCGACCCACGAACCAGGAAATAACTATAGACACGTAAGGCATGGTGGCGTTTCCAAGACACCTGATTGGGCGACGGGCACTTGCAATGCTGAATTTATCGATCTTGACGTATCGTGCCAAGGGCTGTGCTGTGCTGCACCGTGCTGAATTACGATGTGCCATGACGCGATTCTGCTCTATAGCGTTGTGGATCGAGTCCTCCGTTGCATCCGAGTCCTGACCTAACTGATCGGGATCTGAAGTTCGAGCAGCCTGGGCACCTAGTAGCTGCCCCAGAGCTCATTGACAGGGAGACGCGCCAGGGGGACGTGCCATGGGGACGCACCGCGGGACGTGCCAAAGGGAAGCGCTACGGAACATGCCAGTGGACGTGCCACGGGACGCGCCAGGGGACGCGCCGCGCGACGTGCCAGGGGACGTGCAAAGGGACGCGCCACGGAACGTGCCAGGGAACATGCCAGGTTGAAAGGCTGAATGTACCGATCTTGGTGTACCGTGCCAAAGGCTGTGCTGTGCTGCGCCGTGCTGAATTGCGATGTGCCATGCCGCGACTGTGCTCTATAGCGTTGTGGATCGAGTCCTCCTTTGCAGCCGAATCCTGACCGAACTGGTCTGAATCTTAGGCTCGAGCTGCTTGAGCACATAGTAGCTGCCACAGAGCTAATTGACAGGGGGACATGCCAGGGGGACGCGCCGCAGAATGTCCCAAAGGACGCGCCAGGGGACGTGCCAAGGGACGTACCATGGGGACGCACCGCGTGACGTGCGGGGGCGCGCTACAGAACATGCCAACGGACATACCACGGGACGTGCCAGGGGACGTGCAAGGAGACGCGCCACGGAACGTACCAGGGAACATGCTAGGTTGCAAGGCTGAATCCATCGATCTTGATGTACCGTGCCGAGGGCTGTGCTGCGCTTCGCCGTGCTGAATTGCGATGCACCATGCCGCGATTGTGCTCTATAGCGTTGTGGATTGAGTTCTCCTTTGCATCCGAGTTCTGACCGGACTGATCTGGATCTGAAGCTCGAGCTGCCTGAGCACATAGTAGCTTCCCCACAGCTACTTGACAGGGGGACATGCCAGGGGGACGCGCCACGGAACGTCCCAAGGGACGCGCCAGGGGACGTGCAGAGGGACGTGCCATGGGGGCGCACCGCGGGACGTGCCAAGGGGGCGCGCTACAGAACATGCCAATGGACGTGCCACGGGACGTGCCAGGGGACGCGCCGCGCGACGTGACAGGGGGACTCGCCACTGGACGCGCCACGGAACGTGAAAGGGAACGTGCCAGGCGACGCGCCAGGGAACGCGTCAGGGAACGTGCCGCGGGACTTTCCTGAGCCAGGGCCAGGATACCTTGAAAATTACGCTGCATCCGCGCTCCCAGGGCCACGATCCATAGTAAATTACGCTGCGCCGCGCTCTCAGGCCCACGATCCCCCGTAAATTACACTGCGTGCGCCCTCCCTGAGCCACGATCCCTCGTTAAAACTAAGCTGCGTCCGCGCTCCCAAGGCCGCGCTCCCTCGTGAATTACTCTGTGTCCACGCTCCAAGGGCCACGTTCCCTTGTAAATTACACTGCGTCTGCCCCCCAAGGGCCACGATCCCTGGCAAATTACACTGCGTCCGCGCTCCCAGGGCCACGATCCATCGTAAGCTACGCTGCGTCCGCGCTCCCAGGGCCGCGCTCCCTCGTAAATTACACTGCGTCCGCGCTTCCAGGGCCACGATCTCTCGTAAACTAAGCTGTGTTCGCCCCCTCCCAGGGCCGGGATCCGTCGTGATTAAGTGACGCTGCGCCCGTGCTCCCAGGCCCCCGATCCATCGAAAACTGTTCTGCGCCCGCGCTCCCAGGGCCGCGATTTCTCGTGAATTGCGCCGCGTCCGCGCTCCCAGGGCCGCGATCCCTCGTAAATTACACTGCGTTCGCTCACCCTGGGCCACGATCCCTGGTAAAACTGAGCTGCGTCCGCGCTCCCAGGGCCGCGCTCCCTCGGAAGTTACGCTGCGTCCGCACTCCCCGTGCCCCCTGGGGCATCCTTGGGCGTCCAGGGTCGTGGAGTCTCCCAAACCATCGTTTCGCTCGACACGTCCTCAACGCATTATGCAAAACAGGCGCTTCGCTCGAGACATCCGCAACAGACGAAGATGCGGACTTGACCTAGAGAGTCATCGATCGGAATTTCAAGAACCAGCGTTTCGCTCGGGACATCCTCAAATTTTCCATTCGCCGGCCCTCTTCGACCTCGCTACTTATCGCAAATCATTTCGCTGGCCCGTCTCAAGTAACCCTACTCAAAGAGAACCTTGGGCCGGCGCCCTTTCCAGGAAAAGGGGGGAGGAGGAGGAGGAGGAGGAGGAGGAGGAGGAGGAGAAGGACGAGGAGGAGGAGGAGGAGGAGGAGGAGGAGAAGGAAGAGGAGGAGGAGGAGGAGGAGGGGGAATGCGGACCAGGAGGGATTTGCAAGACCTGCGCCCGCTCAGACAGGGTAGTGAACTGCATCGGATCCCAGACTCAACCTTGCTCCTGCTGCGCAGCTGCGCTGGCACGGTGGCGGGGCTTGCCTCAGGCAGCTGGGTAGTCAGGTTTTTCTTCTCTGTCATCGCAGTGTAGAATTCGAAAACACACCATGCTCGCTTTGTATACATCGGCTGCTCCCATGGGCTCATCATGGCCAGCACGTGTTTGACACCTCTGACGCGTGCACCGAACGCAGCCTGGAACGCGTCAAACGGTACCGTCTGGCCATTGCGCCGCGCCTCCTTGACGCGGTGCTGGTTGATGCATGCAAAGCACATCCACACGCGCACCGAGTCCAGCGACAGGCCTCGCGAATCACAGTATGCCCGGAGCACGCCTGCGATCTCGGCGAGCTTGTAGCCCCAGGTGTAGGACAGCATGTGCTGCGCGCACCCGGCACCAGGGTCCGGGGCCACGTCCACGTACGCGCAGCCCTCCCTGCCGTCTCGCGGGCACGCTCCGCCGGACAGCTCGCGCACCCGCGGCTCGATGTCCCGCACCGTCAGCTCCCGGTCCGCGTCCGCGCCGAAGATCCTCAGGAGGTCGCCCGAGACGAACTGCACGGACAGCGCGCGGAACGGGTCCCCGGGCGCGCCCTCGGACGCGGGCCCTGCGGCCTCCGCGAGCCCCCCGGCCGCGGCGCCCCCGGGCCCCCTGCGGTGGCCGAGCCGCGGGGGGGCCGCAGGCGGAGGAGCGCCGGCCCCGCCAGGCCGCGGAGGCACACGCTCGCGGCCGCCGCCGAGAGGCAGCCGAGCCTGGCCGCCAGAGTGGGGGGGCAGGTCGGCGGCGCTCGGCGGCGGCTCCCCGCCGCCGGGCGGCTCCACGTCGGACCAGAGCGTCGCGAGCAGGTCCTCGTAGCTGAAGCGGCCTTCCCTGTCAGTGCTGACGCCCGTCGTCAAGAGCTCCGTGTCTCGCTTGGTCCACCCTGGGTTCAGGCGTGTGAGTATGCGCTCAAGCTCGGCACAAGAGAGAGTCCCGCTGGTGCCGAAGCCAGCTTCCCGAAAAGCCGCAACGACCAGGTGAAGGCGCTCCGCCGCAGAACGATGTTCTTCATATCCGCCACCGTGCCTCCTGGCACTTCAATGCTAGATATAATGCCAAGTGCTGTCTGGTAGGTTTACTGTAAGTGTTCTAAGGCGCCCCCTCCTCTTATCGCGCTGGCTCCTCGCGTGCATCGTCGCCCTTTCCAGACACTGTATGGGCGCCGAAGACCCCCTGGGGCTCTACGAAGCTCCCCAAGGCTCAAAGATGGACCAGGAAGGCCACCAATATGGCCCAACATTGCCTGAAGAGTCACCCAACCGCCCACAAGAAGACCCTACGAGGCGCCCAGAGGCTTCCAGTAAAGCTAAAATCAATCACATACCTAAAGGGATCCTTAGGCTTTCGAATCTGTTGCGTTCCCGGGCCCTCTCGGCTCAGGCTGGTTGCACGAGGGCATTTCAAACAGAAGGACACCCAAAGAGCTCAATGAGGGCCCTCAAACGCCCCCCTGTCGGCCCAGGACAGGTCCCAAGAGGGCCCCAAGGTGGCCCAGCAGGGGCCAATCACAGCCCAAGCGAGCCACAGCATGACCCAAAAGAGCCCGTATCAAGGAATAGAGACGAGAGGCGACACATGTTACAGCCGTCTGGGCGTCGCCACAGAGGACTGCGCTGGCTCGGTGGCGGAGCTTTCCGCATGGAGTTGGATGCTTGGCCATGCACTTCGGTAACAAGGCCTTCCCCAGAAGCCATGGGGCGATGCTGCAGAAATAAGGTTTAGCACTTCAAGGTCGGGTATACATGACAACGCCTTTCTTGAACATGCTTCTGGTATGCTACAAGCTTCTAGATCGGGCAGGCTTGAGCCAAGTCCGCCACGGTCCACCCAGAATCCCCAGAACCTAGTGCAGACATCTAGATCTACCACCCCCCACTCGAACCTGTTTCGCCCTCCACCCCAGAGGGGGGAGGAGCGGGGGGGTGGCATGGGGGGGGGAAGGGGCAAGAGGGGCGGAATAGCCCAGGGGGGAGCATCACGCGTAGCCCTCGGCAAAGCCTCGTCAAACATGGGGGCGATCGGCGCCCCTGCATACGTGCAGGGCCCCTCCCCATCTTCCCCCCCCCTGGGCGATCCGCCCCTCCTGCAGCCGCCGAGGAGTCCCCCCGCCCCCCCTCGGGCCCCCCACGTCTGAGCGAGGCCGAGGCACCTCCTCGGAGGAGGCCCGCCTTGGGGAGGCCCCCCTGGCAGCCGCAGGGAGGCAGCCGAGCTGCGGCATGACGATGGCGACGACGACGACGGCGACGACGACGACGACGACGACGACGACGACGCCCCCGCCCCAGCGCGCCTCGCGGCCCCTGGCCGGCGCCCAGTCCGCTGGCAGCAGCGGCGCGGGGTCCACCGCCAGCCGCCTCTGCAGCAGGCCCATGAACTCGGGGGCCTCCGAGCCCTCCTCGCTGGGAGAGGGGGCCGTCGCCGTCGTCGACGGAGAGGGGGAGGACGACAGGGACGAGCAGGAAGTGGAGGGAGGGGGAGGAAGAGAAGAGGAGAGGAGAGAGGAGAAGAGAAGAACGAGGAGATTAGGGAGGTCAAAGTGGAGGAGGCTGCAATCAGTAGCGACGAAAGGCCGAGGGAACTTTTGGCACTGCTTCGGCGGCTCTAGAACATGTCTTGTCTTTTTGGGAGGGGAGCTTATGGAGGCGCCTCGGAAGTTCGAAAGGTTGCAGGAGGGGATACGCCCGACGCCCCGTCCCTGTTCGAGCCTGACAATAAAGAGGCAATATGCAGCCTCGCCGCGGTCGCCTTCTCGCGAATTGTTCCCTTTCACTACTCTCGATCATCGCTCTTGTGGCGCGTTCTGTTCACCCTCGCTTCTCTAATTGTTGTTTATCACCGTCGCCTCCTTCTGGCCATCACCATCGTCCACTTTCAACCAACGCCTGGCCTTCGGTTATGCGGAAGTTGTTTGATATACAGACGCCGCGCCTGATAACTGAAAACTCGAAAACATCGAAGTGGCAACCTGAGCGATCACAGAAAGGGTACTGGGGCAATTCAGACAAGAAGGGGAAACAGGACAGTGCGGCCCCTAACTTGGGCAAAGGGAGGGAGTCACACACACACACACATATATATATATATACATATATAAATATATACATATATACATATACATATACATATACAAGACTGCAGTTGCGTTTCGCGCCATGCACCTTGGTCCTTGAAGTTTGGTATGCAGGCGGAATAGCAGGAAGGTCAAGCCGACAATTTAGCGATAACTCCTTGTTGCCTTTTTTCCGGCATCGCCGCTATAATAATGTTATTCGTTATCCTTCCTCCATGCTTCTTGTTCCTCATTTTCGCCATACCCTGCGCTTTCTCCCCATCCTCCTCAGCTCTTTTTGCGGAGGCTCCTCCTTAGAAAGCCTCTGGAGGCCTCACAAAAGTTGTTTCAGGCTTTCTTAAGGCCTTCTGGAGGCCTCCTGGGCGTGTTCTGGGGGCCTCTGGGGGCTTCCTCGGGCCACCCTGCCTCCAACCGCGGTCTCCCTGAACGACAGGGTCACGATTTGGAATGCTTCTGAGGGTGTCTTGAGGCCATCTTGGGCCGCCATGAGGCTCTCTGAGGGCCATCTTGGACCCCTGTTGTGCCGTTTTGGGGCTCTCTTGGACTGCCAGGAAGCCCTTTCGGATGGTTGTGGAGCGATTTGGGAGCCTCCCAGGCGGCTTCGGACGCCCAGAAGACCGCCGTCTTGGAGCGTCGGGAAGCCGAAAAGAAGAGAACCCCAAAAGTCACCTAACACCAATAGAAAATCAATGATGTTTGCCTCTTGGGGCCTTCTTGGGAGTGCTGTAGGAGGCCTCTTGGGACGTTTCGGGGCGATCTTTGGGGGTATGACGGCTTCTTGGGGGTCGTCTTAGACCGTGTTGGAGCTCTCTGGGGTCGTTTCGGGAGCACGCCAGAACGCCTGGAACCCGTCTAGGGCCGTCTTCGGACTCTCGTGAGGTTCTCCCGGGTCGTCTGAAGGGTTGCCCAGAGGCCCGGGGAGGGCCAAATTCGTTAGGGGGGGGGGGCGCTGGGGTGTGGGCTCCCGGGCCCTATACAAAAATATAAATAATAATATATACATAGATACATGGATATACAGATATATATATATATATAGAGAGAGAGATAGACAACCAGAATAACAACAGAGAGATAGAGAGAGAGAGAGAGAAAGAGCGAGGGACGGAGGGAGAGGGATGGAGAGAGAGAGAGGGAGAGATAAATGGAAAATGATAGGAGTTACGTAAAAGCCATCGGCCACTGGATAACAATCCGGCCGGTGCATCTTGGAAACTACAAAACGGCACAGATGAATATCTAGATGGTATGGCGCTGGAGCGGGGAAACGACGACAGGCGGCAGCGCGGCAAAAAGACGTAGCAGTGGACCCGTGCACGTGCGCAGACTGGCCCGAGGGACGGCACCCGCACAGATGGCCCACGGATGTTCCCATCGCCTCACTCCCTGCCTTTCGCATGGCTCTCTGCTTGGGGGAGGGGGGCACGTGCGACGTGACGCGCTATCTCTATGCACGCCTGCATGCACGTGCAGGCAAGCACGCTCTCCCTCCTCGGGCGATGCGCAGCACGTACGCGTAAACAGCAAGCGGGATGGCGCAAGCCAAAATGCATTCAAACGCATGTCGAACGCGCTCCAGCCACGACAGGGTGCAGGGCAGGCGAGTTGTGATCAGCGCAAGACAGCAAAGCGCGGGAACCGAACGATGCCGTGCTCAATAACGTAGCCATTCGATGACGAGAGCTGGTGAGCGAACTGAGGGAACTACAGAACGAACCAC